CTCTTTCGAAAGGTTACTTACCCAGGTTACACGAGTTTTTGGATTGTGGAGCGACCGAGTCGCAGTCCTTTTTTGGTCATCACAATACACATCAAGGATTGATGCAGTCAGAATCAAACTGCCCAAATTAGAAATTCTTTAATAGGAAATTACAACCAATTTGACAAATCACGGTAAACATTCCTTAAATTACTTTTTAAGTTTACCCGATACTGATACCGTTTTGGCCATCTATATTACCGTTACGTTCACAAAAGGAATTTCCGAATTGAATTTAGGAACGGTCCTGCAGTTAATTAATTTGACCATGTAAACAGATTATTAATTCTAAGTACCTGTAATAAGATTTATTGTTAGTAATTCGTAAGTGATATAAGAACAAAAATCTTCTATATCTGATATAATCAAAATTCTCAAAAAATTTCATTTATCCCATCAAGTTACTTTTGCTTTTTAGATTTACTTTACAGCATCAGGTACAATACGTCCGTATATAATATTAAAACTCATATTAAAATAGTAAATGTGCTTTGTGTTATGGTCATGCGCATAAGGGTTTGGACTGGTTTTATTTTTGTTACACGAGAAACCCAGGCTTAACGTTAACGGTATCTATATAAAACTGGGTCAAACTCTAAATAGACATGATAAATTAGTGTACCCGGATTGAATTCAGTACGTACCTATTATATCATCAATTCAGGTACGTACATGCGTACTGTTGTAGTTTCAATAATTGTAGAATCACACGAGTAAAGATACTGAGCGTACAGAAAATATACTTAATACGTAATTACCTATTTAGTAAATGTTACTTAAACAGTTTCCAAATTGGAAATTCCTTTATGTACAACTGTATTTTTTTTATAAAAAAACAAAACGCTGACTAGATGTTAAGATATAAATGCATATAATTTCGTTTATAACAACAATTGAAGTCATTCTACATTTACTCACACCATGAATCACTTACAGAAATTTATTCGTAAATTTTTTCGTCACTTTAAAAAGAGAAAAGCTGATAATTCATCTCATGCATCAAATGTTAACCCAAGAGTGGGATCCTTTTCATCAATAAAAAGCGAAGTGTTTCATTTTGAGTCAGGTCCTAATTCAAGAGTACCATCACTTTATCCTGAGTCAAATAATTCATCGAACCGTTCTGAAAGTATTTCTTCAATAAAATCAAATTGTAGCGATTTTTCACTGGATTCACTGGTGAATGCTTTGATAAATGCGTTTGAAAATCGCATTCGAAACATGGAGGAACAGTTAAATAAACAGAATGAAGAATCTATAAATCAGATGGAAACATTAAAAAAAGTAGAGGAAGAATTTAAAAATCAGATGGACTTAATAAAAAAAGTAGAGGATGAATTGAAAAAGCATCAAGCAATTCGAAAGCAGAACAAACATTTAAAAGAAAAATTGAAAAATTTGGATGAAGAATTGAAAAAAAGCAGACAATAAACAGTAAAAAGAAAATAGGATTAATTCGGTCCTTTAATTAAAATTGCTTGCAAGTAAAAAAGGCTTATCACAGTGTGAAATATTACAAGTCGACTAAAACGTGGCAATTGGCTAATTTATACTAGTGATAAAATTCATTTCATATACAGTACAGCTCGAAACAATAAATTTTATTAAGTTGAGCTCATAATGAACTTTTTTGTTTATATATATAGTTTTGTGGCACCCATGAAGGGTTGATTGTATATAAAAATTTTAGTAAATAGAAATGTAACTTACTAAAAGGTTCCATTTAATATATTTTAATAAAATTTCCAAATTAATGTATACAAATCTGTTCATATAATTTTTTGTTAATATTTCAAAAGAATCTGATTTCGACGAAATAAATGACTTTTTATTTTTATTTTTTTTGAATATTATTTATTTTCATTCGATCAAACTTCCTTTTTACGAGTGGGAGTCAACCTTTTATAGAATATTTCATAAAGAATATCAGAAATGGCTAAAAATATTTATAGAACTTCGTGGTC